AGGATTAAGACGTTTGTTGTGACGCACATGACAGCAACAAGCCTCTCCCGAAGCTGTTTGCAACCGGATCGCGGGCTGGACTCGGTGGTGCCTCTTGGTGCAAGATGCAACCTTAATATTGTGGTGGCAGTGTGCAGCAGACATCTGACAACAACTGATGCCCTTCGTCATTGTGCAGTGGATCAGAAAAGTGTGATTTCAGACTGTGGTGTTGCTGCGAGCTCAAGCTTGGGAATGTTTGGAGGTGGCACGGCCACTAGCAAGGCCGAGGGGTGCTGCATGGTCATGTGCACTGGCCGCTCCAGACGTACATCAAGACTCGCTTGCGGGCCCCTGCAGCATTGCAGCCGAGTTATTGCAATCAACCCATTGAGGACTTTGCGGGCGCACGGGCTTCTTGGACCGTGGGACAAGCCTACCGCAGCTGCGGTCGAATCTACCCCTGGTCGCCCACGCAAACATGTGATACATGAGGCTGCCCCATTCAGTCGCAGCCGGTTTCCTTGGCAGCCGACCCAGGGAGCGACGACTTCCGAAGGGCCACGGAGTTCCAGCAGAAGCTGCGGGAGAGATGCAGTCAATGCTTTGTTTAGGGACTGCTTACAGGATGTCACGTTGGGTAGTCAGGTGGAGTTGGAGGCATCCTGGGAAGAATGCGGGCTAGATTCCCTATCCAGCATTGCGTTCGCTCGGCGGCTTTCGGACACCTTTGACCTGTCTTTCGACGCCACTACCTTCTTCGACTTCAGCTCGCCAGCGCTGTTGGCACAAAGCGTTTGGGACAGACTCCATAATATGGAGCCCTATGTGTCCCCAAACCCGGCCCCGGCCCATGCGCGGAACGGAGCTGGTCAAACGTGGCGAAACACAGACACCCGGGGATGCCAGCTTAGCCCGCTGAACTTGCAACCGAAGCCTGGTAAGGTCCTCTACATTTGTCCGCCATTTGGGTTCGGAAGGCGTGGTAAATCAAACGAGGTTCTTCGTTGAGGTGTAACTAACAATGGGTGTAAAGTGTAAAGCATAGTTTCAAGTTTCGTAACAGGACGTCTTGCTTCAATGGGTTCTGCACTAAATTCACGCTGCTTCAACTCGCGTTTGGCAGGTCTTACTTTGCATCCTGGACGAGATGGTTGGGGGACGCTTGTGAAGTGCACGTACTTGGTGATGCGGCGCGATGCTGGGATATGCAGCTTGATGCAAACGCCTCATACATTCAAAGAACCTGCGACTCCCGTCCTTTCGTCATCTTTGGTCATTCCTTTGGTTCCATTGTTGCCTTTGAGCTCTGCAGCCACCTTGAAGACCTGCACTTCGAGATGCCAGGATGCCTCATTGTTTCTGGCTCGCCTACACCCGCGATGTTTGAGTGGAAAAAAGATATGGCACCCTTCAAC